ACCGTAGTTATGATTATTCTAAAAAATTAGAGAGAAAAAAGAAAAAAAAGAGTTGGTTTTGGAAGAGCAGAGAAAAGTGAAAGCTAAAGAGATTTGCGGTTATTTTCTTTCAAATAAAGAAGTTAAAATTTTTGCTCTAAGGAGTAACTATATCGTTGAATATTGCAGTCCCGCCAAATCCACACGTTCTCTCTTCCTTCCCTTTGATTCGATTCCACTCTTGTTTCTTCAGAAATTCGCCGGATTCGACCGGAATCCGCGTAAAATCCATCCACCGTCGTCCTCCTCCTCGTCCTCGGATTTCAATTACATGAATCGCAGACGATGCGTTGTTGTTGTTGTTGTTGTTGTTGTTGGTGTTGCTATTCTCTGAGAGATCGGATTTTGTCGTGGCTTCGCGATTACGATCGCCTCCAATCCCTCGCCGTCGTCCTCCTTTATATTCAAGTACGAAACTTCACTTCTATCCGTTTTTATCTTTCTGTGTTTTTTATTGCGATTATCCGGCGAATTGTCTTTTATTGTCTTTGTCTTTCTCGTCGTTCCCAAACCTAGGGTTTTTCTGGTGTGTGGATTGATTGTGGAAATGGTTATAGATTGCCTGTGCATCGATTGGATCGCTGGGGGCATCGTACAACGGAGTGCTGTTCATCAATTTGGCTATAGCCTTGTTCGCACTCGTCGCCATCGAGAATAGCAGTCAGAGCTTAGGCCGGACTTATGCCGTTTTGCTCTTCTTCTCCCTTTTCCTCGATATCACCTGGTTCATCCTCTTCTCTTACGAAATTTGGTATTTTTTTTTTCTCCCCGGTTACTCATTCTTGCCGTTTCTTTACCTCGTTTTTCTCCTTTTTAACACCATTCTCTCATTTCAGGAACATTCCCTCGGATTTTGGAGTGCGTTTTATCTTTTCTGTCAAGCTGGCTCTGGCCATGCAAATTGTTGGATTTTCAGTGAGGCTATCATCCTCGTTCCTATGGGTTCAGATTTACAGGTTGGGGACCGGATATGGGGACAACAATTGTCCTCGAGATGCTGATTTTGATTTGAGAAATAGTTTCCTCAGTCCTACAACTTCTTCCACAGCTAGACAGAGCTCTGGGAATGATGAGGCTTTGGGAGGGGCCATATATGACCCTGCTTATTACTCATCTTTTTCTGAAGAAGGACAAGAGACTAAAATTTCCTTTTTGGTATCTTTCCTACACCCCCATGTCTCTTTTTATTGTTACTCACATCTATAATTTTCTCTTTCCATATTGGCTATTCAGTTTATGAAGGCGTTTTCATGGCTTTCTGTAGGGTCATCATAATGATGCTATTGGAAACAGTGGATCTAGTTCTGGTGCTGATGCTTCCCAATTGAAGTCATTAGCTGGCAGGTTACAGGCTATTGATGTAAGTATCTATCTTTGTTCTTTTACTGTTTTCTTAAGTCCTTTTAATTTAATCTTGTTATACTGGTCTACTTCAGCATTCCCTTTAGCGTGCAAACTCTGTCTTTCTGTTCTTGTGATTTGCTCATGCCATTTCTTTATGCTTTTATACTTGTGTAACTACTTTAATTGCAACTTGTGCTGGTTTGTTCCTTCTAAATTCTCATTTCTCTTGGTGATGTATCATGTATGTGATAGTTAAGGTTATATTGTAAGAATGCTAAAAGGTAATTTCATCACCCACTGCACTTTTTTTTTTTTCCCTTTTTGGTTGTTAGTCAATGTTCGAATCAGCCTGAGACCTGTTCCCTTTTCAAATTGAAGAAAAGGGAAAGGGGGGAAGAAATGTAAACTATAATTGGCTGAGTAAAGTATTTCACTGTAGCTGTGCACTGGAGTAAAAATCTACATTAAACTATATGCGTTTGTTCAACATATTTTTCTAAACCTCTTCCTTTTTTCGCTCCACATTTTGTGTACCTTCTTTCACAGTTCTTCTTATTATGATTCCAAATGCTTCCTCATTCTGATTGTGTGTTTAGTACACTGTTAATAGTTTCTCTTGAAACATATGCCATTCTAGCATAAGTGCTGGCCAGAGCCTTGCTTTTGCTTATTTTTGTATGGTCTCTTACCTAGTAAAGCTAGTGTGCCTGACAAGAGTTCAGCAATGTGGTTTCTGATCCTGTCTTCATATGAAGCTTAATTTGTGGTCATTTGTTCCATGGCTTTTTAAAAGCTAGGATATTATCTACCTTCATTTTCAACTTGTTCATGGATGCATCATTCATGGGTTGCATTATTATTAAACTGGCTCATGCAAGTTTGCTTTCTAAAATTTTAATTATTTGATGGTCTTTATTCATGGTGATAGCGGTTTCACTAAGATTTTTAAAATATGTAGGTTTTTTCTGCTAATTTCTGTCATGTTTTGGTTCATCTAACTAAACACATTCCTTGCAGCAGCAGAATGAAACGAAATTGCTTGAGAATGTTTGAATCTGGGCATGAAATCCGAGACATCCAGCTTAGTATCCACCCCTGATACATTTTGTTTTGATTTTCTTTCTTTGATGAGGCCATAACCAGCGTATCAATAGGAATGGAATCTGTACAGTTTCAACTTTTTAGCCATTTTTTCCCTGAGATTTAGATGCAAATATTGAAGTTTGAAGACCCGGTTGTTCATTCAGCTTATTGGATGAGGAATAGATTAATGTCAAAAGGTTTTGCATTTGGGAAGCATTTTTGGTATTCACTATTCTTTGTAGTAAGCCAAGGACACCATCTTGACTCAAGGTTCTCTAGATCAGAATTTGACGCTCCTAACACACACAGATGTTATGCCACAGGTGATGATGCCTTTTCAATTATATGCTTTGCATTGCACTGCTGACTTTGGATCTTCTAGGCCATAGCTAGCTATGAGCTGGGCCATCCTGCTTTAGGATTTTATTTTAGCTTGATTATCAGAATTGGTTGGATAGTTACTTAGAATGCCAAAGACTATATAACATTTTTTCCATTAGCAGTTTTCGCAGAAAGACTTGCTCAGTGTGAATGACAATGAAGCAGTCAATTCATGAAAATTTTATTCTAGAAAGAGTTGCTCTTTCTTTCTTTCTTTCTTTTGTTTTTTTGTTCCATCCAGTAGAGAGGAATTGCATGATAGATATTAATTGGTGCATGACCCTTTGCATAACTTTAGTAGAAGGAACTTGCCATGTACTTCCCCTTGGGCCTCTTTTCCTCACTTTGGTGGAACTTTTCCAAAATTGCGGATATGATTATGGAAAAACTTTACCAATTAATCTAGCTTCTTTTTGGTATTTATGGATAGTACATACAATTACATCTAACTAAAAACTCTTACATGCCTTGGGTTTTGGTTTGAAGTTAGAAATAGGGCAAAGGCAGTAATAATCACTGCATTCATAACGGCCATGCAATGCCATAATAAGGCCTACCTAAAGAATGCGATCTAATGAGAACAATGACAATGCATGTGCCATTTTGAGAACTTCCATAAAGGAGATGAGATTTTGTTCCAATTATATTAATTGTTTAGCTTGAAATAATTGTAACTTCAACTTTTTTTACTTAAATTTAGATGATATTTTTTTATATTATTTTATAAACATCTTAATTTTCATCCATATATAATTTGTGTAGTCAAGGGGTCAAATGAAAACTATATGAATTAAGAATTTAGAGAAATATCTAAATCCTTGATAATTTAAAAAATAATGTTAAATAAATTGAAAATTTTCAAAAAAAAAGGGGGAAAGGAAACATACTAATACATACACACAAGGTGAAGCAGCCCATGGTCCAGATTGGGCCATAGGCCCATAATCACTTGGGGGACTGCCAGGGCAATCCTCTTAAATTATGGCTGTCCTTCTACTTTCACGTGGCACAACAAACACCTTTAAATCTATCTTCATACACAGCATCCACTCTATAAATTAGTTAATTCAATCATTAAAATCTTGAAATATTAAATTAAAAAATCTAAGTTAGGAACGTCAATTAGATAGAGAGAAATTAAAAAAAAAAAAAAAGAGAGAATTTTTTTCATATAATTTATTATTATCAGGAGTATTAAAAAAAATATACAGAATCCGTAACTTCGGAGGGTTTTCGGAAAAAGGGAAATAAAAAACACAAAGTGCCACCTCACCACGCGTTCTGGCAAAAAGGAAAATGAGCTAAATGTGTAAATCGCGTTCCCCACCACCATTGACCACAACCACCATAACTTTTTTTTATTTTATTTTATTTCTTTTGGTAACAAAGAGAGAGATTATAACATAAAACAGAGGTACATCGGTAGGTTCTGGGAAATTCAATCCCAAAATATAGGTAAAAATTTATTTTTGGTCTTTTACTTTATTAAATTTATAAGTTTTAACCATTTATTTTATATTATGACATTTTTAACCTCTCATTTTTTATAATTAAATAAAATAACTCACACTTTATAATATTACATTATTTTTATTAATTGGCTGTTAGTTCTATTAGTTAAAAGTATATTTTTACCAACTAATATCAATTAATAGAGTTAACAGTTATCTAATAAAATAATTTAATTAATTAATTATTAACTTTATTAGTTAAAAATAATTTTTTATCAACTAACAGTCAGTTAATAATCAACTAATGAAGTTAACAATTGACTAACAAAACTAATAAGATATTATAAGTGAATGTTATTTTTTTTTAATTCTAATAGATGAAAAGTTAAAAATATCACAATATAAGATAAAAAGCTAAAATATACAAATCTAATAAGGTAAAAAACTAAAAATATGCTTTTACCCAAAATATCAGCAGCACATGCATATTTGACCGAATAAGGGATACAATGAAAAATAACAAAATCCTCCAAAGTTTAAAGTTTAAATTTTGATAATCTTTATTTTTAATCTTTGAATTGTATTAATTTGGAAAAGAAAAATGGGTGCAAATCGCGTTTAATATTTGTGAATTGAAACATGTTAGTATGTAAGAAAAAAAATTGGAAGGAAATTATTATTATTATTTTTATTGAAATAATATTTTTCTTAAAGTTTAATAAAAAAATTAATAGTTATTGTTAGATTTGAAATAATTTTTTTAAAATGAAGATTTGATGTGATGATTTGTTTTAATTTTTTAAAATGTTAATTTGTTTCAATTTAAAAATATTATAGTGTAATTTGCACCTTTGCCAGAAGAAAAAGGCCACTTAGTAGTACAATAGATAATAATTAAATAAGATTGAAAAAAATCATAATGATAATAAAAAATGAGAAGTGATAAAAAATTAAAATATTATTAATAAATTAACATATATAAAATATATATTAATTATGTTTTTGCTCAAAGAATATATGGACGAAAGGAAGCAAATGGAGAGATATTAATTCCTTTTCATTTTTCTGTTCAAATTTCATTAAGGTGAGATAAAAAAAAAAACAAAATAAAGAAAAATCCTCTCTACCTTTTCTTTTCAAGTTTTATTGCCTAAATAAAAAAGCTTTCCCTTCTCCAAGCCAAATATTAAAAAAAAAAAAAACTCACTTTTTTGTTAATTAAAAAATATAAAGTTATTTAAACCATTTATTCGGCATTAATTAAAATTTTAAATACTAGAGGTAAAAAGGCTAGTATTCACCCAACAAAAAAAAAAAGTTAGTGACTAAAACAACCAATAGAAGATTGAGTTGTCCTGTTGAATCACAGAGAGAGAGAGAGAGACCTAGTAGTAAATTTGTTGGGTTGCCATTTTCATTTCTTTCTCTTCAACACCAGGTTCTTTCTTCAAATTCCATCCCAAAAGATTAAAACTTGAAGAAGAATTCGAATTCCGGTATGTTTTTCTCACTTCGAATTACCCTTTTTGTCTCCTGATTATGCCGGATTTTATTTCCTTTTCCGTATCTAATATTAGCTGTTAATTGTTAGAAGTGGATAGATATCTTCTGGGTTTGGTTCAAAATCTAAGATTTTTTTGGCAAATGATGCTTCCAGATCCTTCTCTGTGCTGTAATAATTGATATATGTCTTTTTTTGGGTGCCTGACTGCCTGTGATGGTTAGTTGGCTTGGGTATATACGTGATTTTGGAGATTTCGAGACTGGGGTTTTGCTTTTTAGCTGATCTTGGTGTGAATTTTTCCGGTAAGACTTGCAATTCTATGTTTTTGGGTTTGTCTCTAACCTCTGATTTCTGCAGGGATTATCTTGAAATTTCCCCTTTTGTATGAGTTTCATGAAGTTAGTAATTGAAATCTCGACATACTTTTGATTTGCTTTGGTTCAGAAAATTTTCAGTTATATATATATTAGGTTTCCTCCAAGGGGATCTCCGTTTTTTGTATTGATGAATTTGGGGAAATCTGGTTTGTTTCCTGGAACTCAAAGGCGGACTTTTGAGAAGATCTGTGGGTTGTTTTTATTCGGGATTTTGGGATTTTTTTTTTTTTATGGGATATCTTTATTATTTGGTGGGGAATTAACAAGTTGGATTCACTAAATCTTATAAAATGAATCATCCTTCTGGGCTGATCCCCTCTGTTGTAGATTTTTGGTTTGTTTTTATGTTATTTATGTTGTTGTGACAGAAAGTAAGAGGCTGTGGTGAAGGAGAAATAGAATGGAGGAATTAATGGCGGCAAGATACTGGTGTCATATGTGCTCCCAAGTGGTGAATCCCATCATGGAAGTGGAAGTTGAGATCAAATGCCCATTTTGTCAAAGTGGATTTGTTGAAGAAATGGGCAGTGGTATTGGAGACAGTCCAGATGCTGATTCTGATTTTGGATCTGATCGACCCCTCCCTCTGTGGGCTCCCATCTTGTTTGATATGATTGATAATTCCCGCCGCCGCAGAACATTTAGACGCATTGAGGATGATGATGATGATGAAGATGATGATGATGATAATGATGAGAATGATGATAGGGAGACTCGCCATGGGGGAGAGACTCCAGTGGACAGGGAACTTGAATCCTTCATGAGGAGGATTAGGAGGAGGAGAAGTTCTGCTGCAATCCGGCAGTTGATTCAAGGTATTCATGCTGGAATGATATCTGAATACGAGAATTCTGAGAGTGATAGGGATAGGGAAAGGGAAAGAGAGCGTTTTATTTTGATCAATCCTCTCAATCAAACTATCATCATACAGGGTTCTTTTGATTCTAACCAAGGTGGTCAAAACCAGAATGCAAGCCCCATTGGATCCTTAGGTGATTATTTCATTGGTACTGGTTTGGATTTGTTATTGCAACATCTGGCAGAAAATGATCCAAACAGATATGGGACTCCACCAGCGCAGAAGGAGGCAATAGAAGCAATGCCCACTGTGAAAATTAAGGAGAATTTGTCGTGTTCAGTATGTTTGGATGATTTTGAGATTGGCACTGAAGCAAAGGAAATGCCATGTGGACATAAGTTTCATAGTGGGTGTATATTGCCATGGCTGGAGTTTCATAGTTCTTGTCCAGTTTGCAGATATCAGTTGCCTGCTGATGAATCAAAACTTGATTCTGAAAGGTCAACGAATAGCACCAATCAAACAGAAAGTGAAAACAATGCCCATGGTAACGGTGAAGAGAGTGATGGGGTTGGGAGAAATAGGAATGGGAGAAGGTTCTCAAGCCTATGGCCTTTCAATGGTTTGTTCTCCTCAAGCGGAAGCAACTCAACCTCAACTTCTTCAGGCTCTTCATCTGGAAGTCCGCCTCAAGGGAACGAGAACTGAGTACTTTTGTTAAGTTTGTTGTTCTACCATCGTGTTCTCTTATGTTGCTTGAATATTCTGTCCTGCTTTATGTACATATTATCCTACTCAAGGAATCCGAGTCTTGAAAGAACACATTATGCTTTTATATATCATGCTTTTCTTATTGATCTTATGCGGCCTTAAGAGAATTTCAGCTGCTTTTGTTTCACTGACTCCAGGTATGTTTACTGCTGTTTATATTGTTCATTCATTGATCCAATCTATCTCTCTCGTCACTGAATTCTGACAGATTGAATGGCTTTGTAAAAGGCTTAAGGATTTCATCCTTGTTTGAATGGTAAGAATAAGATGATAGATAGTACAGCTTAAATGCCAATTTTAGTCCCTCAACTTTGGGTTTTTGCACAATTCTATTCTCTCATATTTTTATACTTTTTTTAATCCTTCAATTATAAAAAATGTATTTTTTGCGTTATTTTGTCAATTAATCCACTAAATATGTTTTTATGTATATATATTTTTTTCAGTTTTTAAACTCTCAAGTTGAGAGATGAAAGTTATACAAAATTTTAATGTTAAGAGATAATATATATATATAAATTTAACACAATAATTAATAAAATAACTAAAAAAATGTATTTTTCATTGTTGAGAATCGAAAAATTACAAACAAAAAGCACTTGCGGCTTTAGTCGCGATGGCAGTGCATCAATGCCCTTGGCTTCTTTGTCAAGGGTTCAAACTGCCAATATAACAATATTATAACTATTTTTCTTTCTCTCAATTTCTTTCTGGTCAAAAAAAAAATTACAAACAAAAAAATAAAGGACTAAAATTGTGCAAAAATCTAAGGTTAAAGGATCAAAATTGACATTTTAGTGATTGTATGTCATAAGATCAAACATGGGATCCTTTCTAGTAAATATAAAAATGATGATTTCCAAGTACAGTTGAATTAGATATTTTCCCTGAGTCTTGCTAGTGCTTATCTGATTGATTAAGTTTAGACCACGGGGTAATTGTTGTTATTATAAAACAAAAGGTGAAATGATATGGGTGGGGTGGCCCCGGTGGGGCATGTTCCCGTATACTATAATAATTATGGGAGTATTTTTTATTTGTCTCCATACTAAAAGGAGTCTTCTTCTTTCATTTTTTTTCATTGATATGTAGGCAGGATCTTCTGCTTACATTTACTAGTTGTTTGGATGCATATGTTTAACCTAGAAAGCTATGTGATTTGTTTTATTTATTTTACAAAATTAACTATATACAATTCGTGTTATAAAATTATTTAAATATTTTTGATAAAATAATATAAAAATAAATTTTAAAATATTGAAATAATTTTATAAGATGAATTATATACAATCTACCTTGTAAAATAATTTTTATTTATTTATTATAAATCATTCATCGAGCCGTCTGTATTTAGAATCGAAAACTTCTTTTGTTTTGAGTCTTGAAAGTTTCTCCTTTCAGAGTAATGATACATGGAAAACTTATACCGTTTTTATTTATAATTTTTTTATATGTTTTTAAATAAATTAATATATATAATATTACAGATTTTATTTATAATAATGAAAAAAATCAATTATTTAATTAATATATATAATATTACAGATTTTGTTTATAATAATGAAAAAAATCAATTATTTAATGACCTAAAATATTAAATAAAAAATTATAAAAAAAATTTATCA